ACCCTAAAAGCCACTATTACTGGGAGCAAAAGTTCCCTCTAGGGGGCACTCAACTGTAGAAGGAGCTGGGAGCTTCCTGCAGGAGGCAGAAGCCACCAGGCATCAGCTCAGCGCTCCAGGGCACAGGAAGCTGCTCTGCTTAGAGAGGCTGGTTCCCAGGACCTTCACGGTTGTCCCAGCTCATTCATGCTCAAAAAGAAGTCAGGAGACAGGGAGTGACTTTCTCTCTTTTCTTGAAGAATCCACACCTGCTCCTTCCTCCTATCAAAAGTCACAAGTGTTCTTGTCGCAGCAGTGTGTGGGTCAAGAAAAGAAGCAGGTGAAGGGCTGAGAAGCTGTCAGGCCAGCCCCTCCACTCTGCAGTGGAGACACTATGTAGGAAGCTTGGGGCCTCCAGGCTCTGGCAGAAGGTGTTTATAATACAGTTTGGGTCTTGCTGTACTCCGTGGAGGAAGGGTTTGGGGGCACGGACGAAGCCAAACACAGAGATCATAAAACAAAATTTATCTTTAATTGGTAAGTGTCAACAGCAGTACAAAAGATGGAGTGATGACAACTAGTTTAGGGTAGAGGACAGTCTTGAGGTAAATGAGCATAAATAGGCAGTTCCTATAGACACTCCCCCGCGGGCCTGAGCCCTCAAATGGCATATACATTGTCACCCAAGGACGGCGTGTCTAACACATATCGGGAAAGCACCTTGTGCAAAGAGGGGGAAAGTAGCTAAGGTGCCAACGGATTCCAGGATAGACAAAGACAGCACGCCTTTCTATCTCATCCTGTCCCTTAATTGTGAGGCAGAGCAGGAAAGCCCTGGACAAGTCCCACTGGAGGGTGTTCCATGCTGAGTTTGTCTCATGCCAATACTGTCCAACAAGATCCAAGAGGTCTGTGTATGTGACAAAGCTAGGGGCAGTGATCCACTCCTTTCCATTTGAAGAGATTCTGTTGTTTCCCCCCCAATACATTAAGTCCTTAGCAAACTTCTTTTATCACTATCCAGAGGAGAGTGTGCGAAAGCTGTGATGGTAACCCTTCAGGTCATTTAAAAACTTTACACTGGACTGTACAAGATTTTTTTTTGATAAACTATTTACATTTTCAGACTTTCAAACATATTCAAAGCAGCAATAGACACTAGGTTTTTAATGCTTGTTTGTTTTTCTAATTGCCCAAAATAGTTACCAGCCATGGGCCATGTAGGTACCTGTTGTATTCATAGAGTTTCAACAAAGAAAATCTGCACTTAAAATTTGCTGGAGGGTGTGCCGAGTGTCCCTAGAGTTTCAAGGGTCACACCCACAGTGTTGCTATGGGAACCAATGCACAGTACCTTGACAACAGAGTTATAGTTGTCCAGACAGCCCTACATAAGCTTTACACTTCAAAACAGCAGCCAGCATGTCAGTCCAGCATGTCAGTGAGTTGTGCTGATTAAATTAACATAGAATACAATCTCACAATATACATCACAAACAAATTACAATGTAGGCAAAGAAAAGAGTTACAGTAAGATAAGTTATGTAGTAACAGCTTAGAGGCTCGTACAGGGTAATTCAGAATTGTACATGGCAAATACAAGAATGAGCAAAACCAAGTGCTAAACATCCTAATGTGCTACAAGCTGGAGAAGGATACAACGAAGGCTGAGTTTTAAAGGGGGAGAGAGTAAATGCTCTCTGGTGAAGAAAGACAATGGAGGACACACACCAGCAGACCTGTGATGTGTAGCATTGGCAATGAAATGTTTGCACATTCCCCAGACTTCAAGAGTGCCGCACATCGAAGCCCTGCTCTATGTCTACAGTTTTGTGGAAACAAGACCAGCAAGAAACATCACCTACTTGCCTTCCACCAGCTTCTTTCTCAATAGAAGGGAATCTGTAGGGAGCCTTGACTTTCCATCCCTCCCTCCCTCACTCTGCCTCTGCCCTTGAGTGCCAGTTTATAGGTGTTTGGAAAGAACAGGATGGGGACAAAAAAGAACTATGCTTGCAATGTCATGATTTTCAGTCTACTATCGCTGTGCAGAACCACGATCATGTGTGGCATCAGAAACAACGTGACTGGCAGGAGGAATTCCTGCTCACAAAGAAGCCACGTCAGGGGTAGAGGGCCTAAAAAAAAAAAAAGGCAGGGCAAGTGAGACAAGCCAGGTCACCACTGTTGTTACACTTTGAGAGTGAGCTCAAGTGTCAGCCCAATCCTTAGAGCAAATGTGCACACCAGGCAAGGGCACAGCCAATGTGGTCGCCATTTTCTCAGTAAAGAGGAAGACCCAGCCATCATCTCAACTGATTCTTCTAGACACAGATCTTTGCTGTTGTTGGCACTTGGTACAGGACTTCTATGGCTCAAAACTATGAAATAATGTGTGTTGCCTTTCCCCCAAGGAGCTGGTAAAGTCAGTATATTGGAACTGAGTGATTGGAGAGCAACATCCTCCTCAGTGGCATCAGCGTGACCAGGCCATGTTTCTACTGAAGGAGGTGGTCATCCCTGAGTGCTGAGCTCCTGGCTCAGGAGGCTGTATACTAGAGATGCAGCCTGGCTCTACAGGAGCCCAGTGTCAGCCCTAGAGGAATCACACCCTTTTTTAGCACTCCCGGCTCACATAGGGCGAATGTCCAGAGGAGGCCAGCATTTGACAAGTGGAATAGCACTGTGAGCCCACACCTGAATTTAGAAGCTGGCCTAGGAGTCAGTATCAGGCCTTGGAGAAGGAATGCAAGGCTGAGGACAGGCTAGAAGGTATCAAATAGCGCGTGATGCAAACCTGAAAGGTTGAGAGAGTGTTTGCGAAAACAACATGGCCTGGAATTTGCCAGTGAGGAAGAGAAATTGCCAACTAGGCTTCTCATGTCCATGGATGAACCTTTTCTCTGTGTCCCTGTATTCCTTCCTCTCTGCCTTCCTTCCTATTCCATAGAGCCTGTTCATTAGTAAGAAGGTTGCCTATCAATACTGCTATTCAGTTGACAAAGAAAGACCTGATCCTGTGAGTTCTTTGATGGAGACAAACCTGGGCTTTTATTTAAAGCTAGTGTAAAACAGAGAACAGAACATTACAAGAAGCTGACTTCAGATTGCCCTTGGCTGGTGCTATGGGGTTTCTACTAACCTTGCAGGCAGACCTTCACCTCTGAAATGCAACTCCTGCTTCTTGCCATTCTAGGGCCACAGAACTATGTGGACAGATGGGTCTGGATTCACAAAGCAAACTGACTTTGTCTTAGCTCTGCTGGAAAATCAGTGTGTGTAACTCCTCAGCTTTCTGTATAGAAATAGGGGGAGTCTGAGCTGGGGGACCAGTGAGTTCCAGACTGTGTGAGAACCAGGTAGGGTCCTGCTGTCTTGGCTGGGGGTGGGACACTGCCTCACTGGAGTTGATAATTCTCTGTCCACACTAAATATGACAGGCCAGCTTTTAGTGTAGAGCAACACATATGAATAGAGAACAGAAAGAAGATACATAACTTATATGTCACTAGGAATTCATGAACCAAAAATAAATTCTATTTCTATGTTATATTTACACAATTAGAAAACTCTAAAAATGAGATGGTGAAGTCATAAAAACTTTGCTTAAGCCCCATTGATGTGATCTCTGTGATTGTCATTCTCCATTCCCATGGATATTTAGAGCCAAGTGTGGCTAATAAATAGAATAAACTGTGTATGCACAAAATTTAGATTTGAATACAGCATCACTGTCTGAGCCAATGAAAGAGGCATTCATACCCAGTCATTCCCGGACAGTTTTCGTACTTGAGAATATGGCTAGAAGTTACTGGGCCCCAGTGCTGAGGCCGAGCTGGAGCTGACACAGAGTGTTCCTACACACATGTATTTTGCATAAATAAATGAAATAACAAGACATAAAAATGACTCAGATCTGGCAACTGTGAGGCGAGCCCACACGAGTCGGAACAGGTGACTTGTTCATGTAGTTTCCATACCAGTTTCACATTAGTCAGTGATAAAAATACCATTTACTTCCAGTGCTTGCAACACTTACGAAACGACATCTGTGAGTGTGTGGGATTTTTGTCTTTTTCGTTTTCTTTTTCTTACTACAAGCAAAATCAAGTTTCAATCCTAAAGAACGGTCCTTTGTTCTCTACTAGCCCAGAATATTATTTTGGCATGGTCATAAAAACAAACAAAATTAACTACTGTGCTAAATGTTTGCCTTTGTGCAAAATTAATTACATACAATACAATGCTAGCCATACAATATTCTACCTATGCAGCACAGTCTTTTAAAAAAAGAACAAACAAACAAAAACAAACATACCAATGGGAACAGAAGCCAAAGAGAAGTGGGGAAGCATGAGGAGAAACTGAGGAGGAGAGAGAACATCCAAGAAATCAGTAAGACATAATAAATACTCATTTTGTTTCTGAAAAGTGACCTCTTCCTCATATGAAATCAATGTACAAGAACAAAGTTCCAATCCCCAGCTAATATAAGAACAAAACATTCCTAGCAGTACCTTAACGCTTATGGAGAGCACTCACAGCTAATGACTCAGCTTGTCATCTCTTGGCTAGACCTATCTATTGCTATTAGGCACGGCCTAGAGCACTCTTTAAATAAATATGAAGCTTTACTACTTTTTCCCAAGTGACAAAATGGCTCAATTTTTGATGGAGCTGTTCTTTGTCCTGATGCTTAGATGTTAGGTTGTACTATTCACTGACACCTCCCACTGAAGGGCTCTGAGTAAGGCTCCCTGTAAGCAACAGGCTTGGGTTCAGGTTGGTCAAACTCACAACTTAGAAGAACTGCCTATAGTTAGGAGATGGGAGAGGGAGCCATGATATCTCTCAGCCCTGCAGCATGTCTCGTCTCCAGAGCTCGCCTTGAGTGGCAAGAGCTGGTCAGCAGCGTTCACAAGCAGCCACTGAGAAACGAGGTCTTCAGAGGAGCTGGTGGGTATTTCTACCATCTGTCCCTAGGAGCTGGCAGCACACCCATACTTCCCTTCCCTGCGGTTTTCTTTCACCCTGTCTTTCCTTTGAGTTGTATAATAACTTGTAGATTTTGCAAAAATCTCCATGGATGTGCCAGCTGGGACCAGGTAGCTCAGTAAAGATGACAGTATGCCAGCTCCAACGTAGACCCCTGTGTGGCCCATGGTCCTTGGGCTTCAGAGTGGCTGGGAGAGGCTCCTTGCTGGGCAGTAACCACTGCTGACCCTCACTGCTGAATGGAACTCAGGTTCTACTGAAAAACTGAATGAGGGAGAAACTCTAGTCAAAGACCTGAGGTCACAGTGACTCCTGGGGGCATACATGTTTAAATGTAGGACACCTTGACACAGATGGACGACCCTGCAGCCAGATATATACTCATCTTTAAAAACAACAATATATGCATGTACTAGCTTCACTTCAGAAATGTTTCCAGGGGCTCTGGGGACATGAGATTGCTATGTACATCTTTTGTATCCAGCAGGAAAAAAGAGGTTAAAGGGCAAGGAGGGCAAAAAAAATATTAAATTAATGCCACCAATAATTTTTAAAATAAATAGTAAGTGGACCCTTGACATTCTGGAATGAATAAATTATTAAGAGAACAATGTGTTAAGATTGAATGTCAGGGCAGAAGGCAAGGTAAGAATGGATGTAGTGAGAGGCGGTCTCAGACAGGGGAGCCCACCGTGTGGTGTCTGGTGTGGTGACTACTCTGATCTATGTCATCCCACGCCACACACTGATGGCACATCAAGAGGCAAACACAACTGGGTTCATGCACTGTGGCAGCCTTGCTCATTTCTTACAATATGTTGTCTCCAGATTCCTGAGTACTTCACCATTTTCTGGAAAAAAAATGTGGTTTGCTATTTTATTTTAAGATGTCAAAGATTGTCTAAGACTTTGCAGTGTCTCCTGTAAGACTTTCAAAATAGTTAAGATTCAAAAGTTATGAAAAAAGTTTGGCACATTCAAAGTTGAATTCTACACATGGAAAAAAAATGGAATTCCGAGGCCTTTTGAACATGTTCTATATGCAGCCGCTCACGCCGTGGACTTGTCCGGTTTCACAATACGAAATCCTCAGTTGTTTTCTAAAGTAATTCAGAATAAAAACACATTCACAACCTGTAGCCGGCACAGCATACCTGAGTGAGAATGTTTAACCCCATCTAAAACAGTAACTTAAACCCTTTGTCAACATCCAAAAGAAAACTAGTAAGACAGAAATGTAAGACTCGTAAGACGGCGATGGGCGGAGATAGGTTTCCAAGTCCCGGTGTCTCATATTTAATACGTCTTCACCTAAATAAACAACAACAGTAACGGTAACGACAAAAACTCAAGTTTATGAAAAATCAGGAAAACGTAATCTGTCTCACACGTTACGAAGCAATTAAGACCATTCTGCTGATGTATTGTGGAGCCACAAATGCATGCGGGCTCTTTAAGAACTTTGTTGTTGTTGTTGTTGGGGAAAGGGAGCGAAATGTCAGAGTGTTTTAATTCAGCAAACAAAAGCTCCTCAGTTGGCACTGACAGGCTCTGGGGCCTCGTTTTCGCTGCTATAGTCTGATTTGGGATCATCTTCGTAGTCGTCATAGGCTTCCATTTCATCCTCTCCATTAATCATGTCGTTCCCAGCCAGGCTTGCGCCGTCCATCTTCATACCATACGTGCTCTGGATGACAGGGAGGCTGGGCTCTGGGCTGGCAGAGGTGCTAGAGCAGTCAGATGTCATCTGAGGTGATGGTGTGGTCGTTGCCATAGTAATAGCACCAGGATACACAACACCTGTTCCTGTGGTGATGGGAATCTGAGGCTGTTGCCTGTATAGATTCAAAAACAAAAATGGGAGAGAGAGGGAATCTCTATAGGTTCTCACATGAGACCTGGGACTTCCTAACCCACATCTGCCAAACCAGGCCCTCTGTAACATGTTAAGGGGCCAGAAGTGACAAAAAATGTTCTTGGAAGAATCCCTGGACTGTTTCTAAAGCTGCGGCTGGTGGTTAAATAATACAACGCAGCAATTTGCTGACAGTTTCACAACATAAAGGCAGAACTTCAATTTGGCAAACATCACAGAGCTCAGATCACACTTGGCATTGGGTTGGGCACAAATGCTTCAGTTAAGACCACAGAGGTCCATTTGAGACCATTTTTAAAAAGAGACCAGAGAGCAGTTTTTTTTTTTTAAATACTTGAGAGGCATGGGCATGCTGTAAAGCTACTCTTAAGTGAGTTGGTGTCGTCAACTTGGTTTGAGAACTATGGATGAAAGAGAAAAAAAATGGGAAAGGGCCTTGTACGTCCCAAATAGTCACATTTGGTAAAGGATTCACTTCGCCTCTATTCTAATGTGTCCTTGTTTCTTTAGCTGGACTTTCCAGGCTAGGGTCCTTCCAGAATAATCATCTTGGATATCACTACTCCTGAGGCTGAGGATGAAGCTGGAGCTGGAGGACTCAGTAATAAAGAGCTTTACACCCTAATAATAAGGGACACCAGGCATGCGGCTCCTGCCTCATCCCAGCAGATGCCAAGTTGAGTCACACCAGATCACCTCTTTATACTGTGTCCCCAGTTCAAACAAACCAGCAGATCTTGTGACAGTCAAGCTCTCCTGTGCAGTGAGAGCTGCCACTGTGTCTCTCCTTTCACTCAGCACACAAGAATCAAAGCTCTACTCAACCCAGATACTGTGTCTGAGGTGTCATTTATCGAGTGGTCCTCAATGATTATGGGCAGCAAATGATAGTCAACATTCACCTCAAGCATCGCTGTAGTAACTCTTCCTCAGCCTTGGTATTCATATGTTCGTAAAAATGGGTCGGGGTGTTCTGCAAGGTCCTCTTGCCTGGTTGTAACCAAGGCTTCTAGTCAGTCATCATTTGAACAATTCTTATTAGGCTTCTACATCAATAAGACTTTCTATATAGCTTACTCTCATGTGTATGAAGCATGCATGTGTATGAAGCAGCCTTGCTGCCAGTCTGTTAGGTCCAGGACACTCCTGGATAGGTGTCATTTCCTAACAGAGGTATCCAGTCTTATTTATAGAAGGAGAAAAGCCAGGATGCCTGGAGATGTGTGCGCACTGCCTTTAATGACCTTCAGTCACCAGAGGGATAGCCCCTGATTCTTTAACCCTTTACTAACATAACATGCTTGTTTGTGTAATTTTAACATGTACACACACACACACACACACACAGACACAAATACACATATCTTTGTTCAACAAGCATGACCACAGCCCTTGAGATCTTATCACCCCAGAGATGATAAAAGCCAAGGACTCAGCAGCACCTGGCTAGCTGGGACTGACATAGGAAGCAAGTGAGAGGAGAAGTTACATCTATTTGTAGATACATCACATGAAGTCCTGCTCCCTCTCAGATTCTAAAAATATATGCTTCAAATTTTTTGAAAGTAAATTAGCACAAATTTAATTTTATGCTAACCTGCCCAGAGCAGGAGATACTATATTGCATTTGCAACTGACTAATTATAGCATATATATTTTATATTTACATATATATATATATTATTGCCTTAATTACAAGTGTAAAGAGAACACTCTTCTGCAATATTGACCCATTTTACAGATTTCCTAAGGTGACAGCTATTCTAAACTTTGCAGACCAACACAAACTATCAAACATTTTCTTTAAATACAGAAAACGTGCTTTTCACAAAACAGATGGTTGCTCTTTGAAATATTTTAAGCAAAATATCTGTATGTCATTTATCTTTATGTCTTAAATAAATGTAAATTGTGCTCAAAGCCTAGCCCTCTCCTGATTTAACTTTTCCCCATTACTGCGATTCTTCTATGGCTCGTTGCTGGTGCTCCTCTCCAGGCCTCCACCCTACTTACCCACTTCCAAAACATTGCTTTACTAGTGGGTCAGTCGTTCCTGCCCTGCTCAGACCTGAGATGAACTTAGGTGGATAAGTTGTACTACCTTGCTTCTGCTTTCTACATCTAAACCATGAGCTGTGCACCAGCCTCTCCAGACAGTGCATGGCACAGTCTCCTGGTCCACTCCTTTCCCTTTCCTACTTTCGATGCTCATCAAATATCTGACTTCTTACTTTAAGCTGATGACGTGGTTTTTCATATGACGGGGGAAGTAGAAACACAGTAGATGAGACTTTCTGGAAGTTCCCACCATCGAACTGACCTGCTCACAGCTCTGAGGCCAACCCTCTACCCACACTGCAACTTTTAGTAAGTTCAGAATCTGACAGGGAGGCCTCTTGCTTGTCCTCTGGACCTATTTTTCATGGCTTACTAAGGACTCCCTCCAGTCACGGTCTCTTCCATCCACACCGTCATGTCTGCTCTCCCCTCCTCTCCAGCTGCTGCTCCACTTCTCTGACGTTCTAAAGCAGAACTCAGGAAGGTTCTCTCTCTTCATTTATTCCACTCAATTCTTTCTTAGACCTGTTTTGATTACTTCCAATCCTGTGCTGAAACAACTCAAGAGGAGATCACCAACAATCTCCAAACTATTAAATCCAAAGTCAGCTTGATCCTCATCCAATTCTGTGTCTTTAAACAGTATCTCTGTGTTGACCACTCCAAAGTTTGTATCTCTAGCAAGTACCGCTCTCCTAAACTAACCCCCTTCTTCTCTCTCTCTCTCTCTCTCTCTCTCTCTCTCTCTCTCTCTCTCTCTCACACACACACACACACACACACACACACACTCACACACACACACACCCCTTTCCCTTTGGTGTTCCTTTATGTGGATGCTAAAGACTACCTCAGTCTTACAGGTGTAAAACCAAACTCCTGCTCATTCTCTGGATTTCCAGCCTTCCTGTGGCCATTCTGATCTTAACAAGTCCTTTCAACCTTCGCAGTTGCTTAAGCCAATCCTTAGTAAGAGCTCTTTTAATTACAGTTAATCCATTAGCAAATCATGTTGGTTCTCTACTGGGAAAATATCTAGCATCTATCTACTTCTTGGCACCTCTACTCCTACACACCTGGTCCAGCCATCATCAATTCAAATATGATTTATCCTAGGAGCCTAGCCTCTTTGCAACAGGCTGTTCCTCCTCAGACAAGTCCCAACACAGTGATCAGAATGATCCTCTCAAAAACCAGGCCAAAGCTCAGCATCTTTTGTTTTGCTTTGTTTTGTATTCTTCAAAGCCTTTTCTCTTTGCCTAGAGTAAAAATCAACTTCACAATGACCTATAAGGTCTTTCACAGCTTGGCTTTCTACATCTCTCTGATGTAGGTTCTTTCTACCTATTCCCGCTGCTTTGCTCCTGCCATTCTGGCCTTTGTCTTCCCTTCCTGAATAAACTAGGCATAGTTATGGCTGGGGACCTTAGAGCTTTCTGTCTCCACTGCTGAGTATTGGCAGAGCCTGCTTCCTTATCAGCTTCGGTCTTTGTTCTCACTCTCTTAGGAAAATGTCCTGGGGCTCCCCTGACCACTGGAACAACCTCTGCAACACTCTGCCACTTTACTGTCCTTATTTTACTTTTCTCTTGTCCTTATTTTACTTTTCCTTATTTTGCCTCTCTGAAGGCACAAGTAGATATTTCATACACTTACTGATTGATTGATTGATTGATTGTCTGACTTCTTCTACCACTAGAATGTAAGCTTCATAACGATAGGATTCTTTACTAATGTAGCTCCAGAGTCCAGACAAGGCCTGAGCACAGGACACACTCAGTAAACCCCTGGTGAATATATCGAGTTACTGGATATGGGAACAAACTGGTAAGTGGGAGGGAAAACCAATGAAAAAATACATGGGGATATTTCAGTCAAGAAAAGATATGAGACTAGAAGTCTGAGAAGGACAATGACAAAGAAAAGATAAGGATGTGACAATCTTTAAAAGCTATATGATTGTCCTCATAAACAGGTGACCAGACCAGATGAGCAGGACTAACTTGCAAGTCAGCAGGCAGGTTTCAGAGCAGTGAAGGAGGAAGAACCTTCTGGTATTGGAGAGGTTTCCCAAAGGAAGCAGCTCCATGGTGGGCAGGCAGCATGGCAGCCCTCCAGGAGCCTGAGTGGACATGCTAAGGATTACAATGCTGGTTGGTGACATAAAACAAAGAAAATCAAAGACCCTTCTGTGGCTACACAAGATTCTGTGGGGATAAAGTCTAAAACTATATCCTACTTTGGTTCTGTCATCTTATTATTTAGTCTTAGAGACTTAAAATAAACAAATAATTACGATAACACATCAGCCTGAGCTGAAGAATGTTGGCTTTTGCTGTTCCTCCATCCAGCCTACCTTAGACTTCCTCCATGGTTGCCTCAGTATTTCCTCCCTTACACATATACCTACTTAATTCTTAATCAGGAATCTACTCTCAACTAGCCAGACCTTCTCAAACCTCAAGGCCCTCCCTCTGGGGTGCCTATGGCTGGTCTGCATAGGAAACGCCCTTCCTAGGCCCCAGTTATTCATGTCTATGTGTCTAGATGAGAACTTTACCATGCTTTGTGTGTGAACAGCACCTATACTGCAGCTGCTGTGACAAACTATTATCAGCTAACACAGCCATACATTGTTTGGCTTGTCTAACCATTGAACATGCCAAAGACCTCTTGTCTATACAAACAATGCCTCATGCTTTGGTGACTTAGAACAGAGCTGGGAATCCTGATGATATCTAATAGGCTCTTAACAAGTGACTGCTCAGTCAATAAACAAACTGAAAAAAGTCAGCCAAAAGCATCAAGCATTGTCTATCAGGAATCATTTTTCTAGAAAGCTCTTTTCCCTCCTTTACAGATCAATTTCAAAGTCAAAATTCAAACACTGCAGATTTCACAAACCAGGATAGCTAGCAAGCCTTGGGCTCTGCAAATAATGAACTTGTACATCAAAACAGAAGTTGAAGATATCCTGAAAGTGTTTGCATGTAGCTGACAGAACAGAGTATTACCTGGGCTGGAGAGAGCTCAGCACTGAGGCAAAGCTCTTAAATCCCAAGAGTAGTTCTGGAATAGTCTGGCCTTGCCAAATATAAAAGGACTATGTGTCTCTACGATAGAAGTCCTCTGGCTTTCAGAAGCAACAGGGTTTGGCTTGTGAGAATGTGAGGTGGGTTGTATGGCTCTGTGGCTGATGCTGTAGGAAGGGGTGGAAATATAAGCAGTCTTCTCTCATTGTCTACTGAGAGTTCTAAGCTGGTTCCTTACCAGCCAGTGCAAAAAAAACAGCATGACCAGTTTTTATCAATGTATTACAGGCTTCATTTTATTCCTTTAGATTTAAGATCAAGATGGTAGAGTTATAGATCATTTAGGGAACAATTATCTAGGGAAATAATGCTCCTAAGATAGTACAAAATAAGTACCTGACACAGATTTCTTTTTTAAGAATAGCATGTCTGCATGTTAGACAATGTTCTTAGTATTTTCCATTTGCTAAGCCGTTCTATCTTCAGAGGGACTCATGCTATTGGTGCTGTGGTCATCCTTATTCTCCATATAGAAAACTGACAAGCATAGAGATTAAGGAAGTATCCTAAGGGCAAGTGAGCTTCTGAGGAACAATGACTAGCACATGCTGGTCCAGCAAGGGAAAGGCATTCTAGCATCGGAGCTGGAACTGGCTGTCTTGGAGTCAGGACCTTCAGTACTGTCCTACTTGGGCTCTAATTGTGAGGTGCACACAATGTTAAGGCAGATGCACTTTCTACCTACATCAGCCTAACTTAAATATCAACAATACCCGTGACTAACTGTTCCCTTGGACAAGTGGTTTCATGTCTACCAACACTGTGCCTGTCAATTCTCAAATAGTGATGGTGTCTATCTAATATAATTGATATATTTTCAATAGCCTATATTCTTCACTCAACAGAGCCAATTGCATACTATTAGTATTCAATACCTTTCCACTATGGTTGCTTAAAAATTCATTCCCATTGAATACTCTAGAGTATCTATGTAATTCCCCACAAGTTCAAAGGTAAATTACTACATGTGTTTCCAAATAAAAAGCAGCTTTAGTAATGATTAACAAGAAAAATATATCATGATAGCTACATGTGCCTCAGTGAATATCAATTCTGCATTAACAGAATAATCACAAAATCCTGATACTTAATCTACCATTTGAAGGAGTTAAATCCCAGGCAGGGGGATCTCTATTACATATTACTCACAGAGTTCTTCTTGTGATAGCTAAGTTTTTAAAAACATCTAGCTCATCTGTTACAATTGTACAGTCATTTAAATGCACAAAACTGTAAAGTATGTGGTGTTGGCTCAAAGGGATGCATGTCTTTTCAAAATCAGATACAAAAATCAATCTTGCCCCATCAAGACCTCAATAGTGATCTTTGAGGTTTTGTTTGTTTTGCTTTCTGCTCCTCTGGTTGTAACCTTACAGCTAATGAAGATCAATTTCCAAAGTTGAACCTTGGGGACTGACCAATCTATCAGACTTAACTATTTAAAAGAAAATAAGAATCTGTGAGTAAGGATATTACCTAGCTTTACGTAGCAGATGTTTCTGGAACTGGGCAGAGGGACACACTCAGCACTGCAGACTGAGGACGGGCCATTCTGATCATTGCCTGCCATTTGGCAACCCTGTTCATCCCATACTCTAAAAACACTTCCTTAACAAGTCTTCCTGCACTGTCAGGAGCAGCCTAACTCTGTAAGTCACAGCTTCTTTATTAGCACATCTCACAGTCATATACTGCATTAGTTTCAAGGTCCATGAGCCCTTAGCAAATCACACAGCTATGCTCATGTCTGTTCCAGAAGAGCTTGTGAGGTGTCTTTTGAGGAAAAAATGGTAAGCAGTGTTTCTTTGCTGTTTGGGATGGCAGAGGCAAAGACCTAGAGTTGAGCTTTGATGTCTCTTCAACTTAGGGAGCCGCAGGAACTCTTTGAACCTTAGTTCCTGTATCTTATTTAGAGGATTATGGATTGTGTGACTTGGATGTACAGGATATATAGTGCAGTCTAGGCATCCAAGAAACAGCAGATGTCACCAAGTCATCTGCATTTCAGGGAGTTACTAATCTATTATGTTTGACTACATAAAATAAACTATAAGTCTGCACCAGTATGTGTTATGGTATTTGGATATAGGCCCATTTTAATGTATTCTGCAGCAAAGATGACTAAGATAAATGACATTGCTACAATTCATCTATTCAAGTAAGTATCAGGAAACAGAAGAGTACTTCAGATAACCTTTTAGGCTGTGGTCAAAGAGACCCACCAAGTATCATTCAACACACAGAGCCAGGAAAAGGCCAGGAATCACAAAAGCTTTCAAATTTAAATTTTCAAAAGATAAATACAATCTCAGGGATGCAGTATCAGGTTAAAACAAGATGTTTATCATGCAGTCTTAAATCCATATTGTGTTTAAATGACTAGCCTACTGAAAGGGCACTATGAACCTGTATTTTTCATAAATCCTCTCATTACCATGTGAATGATCAAATTATATTGCATTGTACTTTTTGTGTTAAAAGCATTATTTTAAAAGATACAAACACTCATAGCACAGAGGTATTTGATAAGCCCATTTTGACACATCTTCATTTATTAACATGTTGGAATCTTCAATTAATAAAACAGGACAATTTTCTTTACCCCTAAAAGGGTCTCTGAATGCAGAGTCTAGGGAGACTCACAGAGGGCCCACGATGACATTTTTGCTGGCATAGTAGTTACCTAGTAAGTCAAACATGACAATGCTGGGTTTACAGGTACTGTACAAAGTACTGACTTCTGAAAGCTCTGTCATCTTGAATTGTCTCAGCAGCTATACAGGATGCCTGCTATCATTCCTCACATTTCATATGTGAGAAAATGGAAGCTGAGCAAAGGAAAAGCCATTGCCCAGGTTGGTGACAGGACCAGCATTTCTTCAAACCCCAGAGCCCTAGTTCTCCTGGGGCCCTGGTGCAGCACACTCTTAGGACTCCTTCACTGACCTCCAGGTTGTGCTCTGCTCATGGTTGGAACTAAGTTTACCCTTTAGACACATGCTTAGCTCCCCTTTGTTCTTCACAGATCCAGCTAATGTGGCTTCCTTTCTGCCTGCTCCACTCCTCTCTCCCATCTCTCTCCCAGGATTCTCCCTTTGGCTGCAGCTGCTTCAGCCTCTGTCTCCAGAGTTGTCCTGGGGTTTCCACCCCCACAGGCTGCTAAGGTCTGTGTGCTGGAATCTCTAGGCATCCATCTGCCCCACTTATCCTGACTACTGTGGTTAGGAGGGGCCTCTTTTGAATGCAGACAGCCCGTCAGCCAAGTTGAAATTTATACCAGAAATCTATTACCTAATTTTTAAACAAAATGACATGAAATCAGACTTGGAGATATCAAAAACATGCCCAGTTTCTGATTTAAGCAAGAAAATCCACATTGTTACTGCTTCCACCACAGAATAATTTACTGCAACAGGAGTTCTGGATACGATGCCAAAAATGAGGTCTTCTAACCAATGTCAAGGCCAATTATCTTGTGGCAGATCCCACAACAAAAGCAGATCATTGTGAATACAGTCAGAAGTGCCACCAGAGAAGCCGGGAAGCTGTGGGGATTTCTAAGAGTCAGTTTTTATTTTTTCTCCCTGTGTGTCTGTCTAAATAAACTACCAGAAACTCTGTGTGTGGGCATTGGCTATCTTGGTGAGCATGGGAGATATGCCATCACTATGTTCATGTAGAGTAGGGACAGGAGCCCGCCCGGCTGTAGGCTGGTAACACAGCAGGGTCCTACAGTCATATCCTCCATGTGTCACAGCTCCTCCCTTCACTAATCTCTTTCCCCAGTACACATGCCAGGAGCACCCTGCGGTCGGTCCTTTCCTGGGGTCCTCTGGAGCACCTACCCCACAGTGAAGAACTGTCGCATCTCCTGCCTTCGCGAGCGCATCAGTTGCTTGTACTCCCCAATCCGGAGCTTCTTGCCATCCACAATGCACGTGCGCTTTGGCCGGGGTTTATACTTGTAGTTTGGGTACTTTTCTAGGTGGATTTTGCTTAGCCGGGCCTGCTCTTCATAGTAAGGTTGCTTCTCCTGGTTGGACATCGATTTCCAGCGAGATCCTAAACATGAGAATAGCCTTAAGAATGTATGTGGTCGCAAGATATGATGCCATCTTCTAGACCTAGATCGTATCTCCCAGTACTTCACAGATTTTGCTCAGGAGCTCCTGTTACTACATACCACTGAGCTTCTCAACTTGTCCTTTGAACCACAGAACCAAAAAAAAAAAAAAGTATAGAAGAATGAAAAGAAAGAAAAAGTGAAAGAAAGAAAAAAGACAATGTATTTATTGTATTTTTTCTCAATACTCTGTGGCTGGTGATACTGTTATTTAAACAAAATATTGTCATGACTGTGTGTGTGCACATGTGTACAAGTGGGTCAGAGGACATCTCTGTGAAATTGGCTCTCTTCTTCCACTTTCATATTGATTCCGAGGACTGAACTCAGGTCACCGGGCTTGTGAGACAAGCACCTTTACCTTCTGAGCCATCTCACCAGCCCCACTGTGCAATTTTAAAATGGTTTTGCTGCTGTATCCAAGAGCTTTCCTGCTTACCTGTCTCTCAGCCTCTACCTGTCTCTCCTACCTACCCTTCCTCTCCTGCTCTCTCGCTCTCTCCCTCTCCCAAAGGGTTAACAGCACAAATTTTCAAGGCATATTTGACTGACCACATTCTCAGAGAGCTTCTCTTGATCTCAGAAATTCAAACCTCTCCTCACACTCCAAGCATCTTTAGGCAAATGCTAGCTAGCATTATTACCCACACAGTAACCCATCCTGTGCAGGTCACCCGGTTACCTGAGAGTGACACAAGCTCTGCTTAAAAGGCAGTAGCTATGGAGATGCAGCTGGAGTCATGTGGCCCATTCTTAAATTCTATAAGTGATCTCTCAAGGATGAACCAATAAAAGCACAGACTTTTTTTTAAGTATGGTTTATACAGGAAGAAGGAAAAGTATTCCTTTCTCTAATATTGTTTACAAAGAATTATCTAAACACTTGACGGAGAAGGGATGTGTTCTCTTACATGTATTGAATTGCATTTTTGTGTCTGGTGGATAAAGTGGTCACAGCTGTGCAGACTGGATGCTAGCAGTTCCTCAGTGGTGGTTTTTCACACATAAACAAATGGCAAGGTTGTACACATAGTCTCTGTGGCCAGCAATAGCCCGGTTTGCTCTCACTGTATCTCTGTCCTTTCCTGGTGGATCATGAAGCTGCGCAGCTCCATCATCGGCTATGTCCGTCAGCTTGTTATGCCAGCCACAGCTCCATCGGCTATACCCGTCGGCTTATTATGCCAGCTGCCAGCAGTATAGGGCCCAAGGTTAGGATGCCTGGCACCCTGGAAACGTGAAATGCTCATGCATAATGGTTTATATTTTAATGAATATACTTTTTATGTTCCTCATAATGTTTTCACAGGATGCATATCAATAATAGAGATTCTTCAAGGCTGCCAAGATGGCAACAGAGGGTGTCTGTGCCATCTGAAAGCTTACAAAGGCTGCTACCAAAATGGCAAGAAACAACCACCGAGTTAGCAGCAGCGGTGAAGCTGGAGTAACACTGAGTTCTTTTATATGTCTTTGAATTTAGATAAAAAAGTATGTATGTGTAGATATTTTCTGTCCATTAGAAACATTTTAGCTTGAGAGCTATTTAAATTAAAAAAGAATACCATCCCTCTTCCTACCTCTGAAACTCTAAAATTGAAATTTCTCTAAATGGGAATGATATTTAACATTTGCTTTAAAATTTAAAAGTACCTCCCCTACCCCCCCCCCAAAAAAAAAAGAAAAAAAGAAAAAAGCCTGTGTTTCCATGTTCCACCTCTGTTTGGTCCAAAATATGTTTTAAATTTTCTTAGAGGCTCCTGCTTCAAAATGTCTCAGAATCAAGTTAAATCATTTATTTTGTGACAAAACACGTGTATTTGTGTGTGCCCAGATCACTGGTATTTACTCAGGTTAAATATTTATTGCTCTTGAACAAAACATTTAAAGAATTAAAGCCACAGTTTAAGCCTGGTGCTTTCCAGCGGCTCCTTGGGGTTCTGTTCTACAGTGGCAGCTTAAACAGAACAGGGCCGTCTGTGTTTCTTCTCTCAGAAGAGGAAACATGTTGACTGTAATGCTGCATGTTGAATAAAATATGTTCAATATGTTGAGCACAACAGTTCCAAACTGTGTAATCTGTGCTAGGAGAGCTTACCCCGATGGAACAGAGTTTAAGCCTGGGAACCTGGAGGCTCATGCTGGCAAAGCAGAGCTCTACCCTGAGGCTCATGGCTATAAAATGTGTACTAGGCATACAGTGTCAGATTAAATGTAGCTTTATTTTACAAGTCTTCAAGTTATCATTAGAGGCATTGTTCCACACCCCATGAATTTCACGCCATTTGGTGGGCACTGCTAGTACTTGGTGGATTCCACCAGTGTGCCATGTGAACCTGGACTGGAAGGTCTGTGTTTGCAGGGCTGCCTTGAAAAATAAAAAGCCAGGGTAAGAGCCTTAAGTAGCCTGTCCCTGTGAGTCTGTGACCTCATTCAATAGTCGCTAAATTTACAATGTAAGCCCATTACTCTAAGAAGTTCAGCTCTAAATTAAATTTTTTAGTCAGGCTTACCCTGATGATAATTCTGTTCAGGAAGAAAGTTTACAGGCCTTGTCTTAATAGATAAAACATCCCTTCACCTGAACTGTGGTGTGGTAGCATTCTGAGAGAAAATAACAAGGCTGCTGCTGTAGGCAGTTGGTTTAGTTTCATTTGCTCCCTGCCAATCAGTTTCCCTTGGGGGGCTATCTTCTGCCCCTGCTTCACACCCTTACACCCACTCTACCCTCCTCTTGGGGTAAGAGATCAATGCCAGCTGGGCTGCAACACTTGCCTAAGATTTTGCTAATGTTTGAGTTATGCATGTCAGGGAAGGCCTGAAGAATTTTCCTCCTTTCGTCCTTTGCCCAAACCATGAACGCATTCATTGGTCGCTTGATGTGGGGTTCGCTGCTGGCACGGCCCCGGGCATCCCTGTAGACGCGTGCTTCAGCCACAGTGGCGCCTCCTGTTGGCCAACAATAATACTGCTGTAGTTTAGCTGCAGAGCCATTCAATGCTTTGCTTCCTGTAATGTCAGGGCAGGAAGAACAAGATGGGAAAAGCATTATAATGAGAGCATTTCACACTTTTCTGTCTGGCTTATCTGCTGTCCTCTGGCCCATCTTCTGTTCTAAGGGACCTTTCAGAAACACAGTTTTAGACGATGTGTCCGCAGCCCTTTCTGACATAGTGTCAGGGTAGGCTGAACTGATTTTGCATGTTGTTCTGTCACCACCCCATACACTACAGTCAGCTAAGACTGGGGCTGTGATCTAGTGGACGCTCCTGAGGTAATGCCTTTCTTCAAAAGTAAAGTCATATCAATAATTTCGAAATATCTGCTACTTCAAACTATGTGTGTCCACAAATGGTATCCCACCCTAGATGCCCTCTACTCCTCCACCCTTGTCCCACTGTCCTTCAGTCCTTTTCAATTGCTGCTGTTTCAGGAATGAATTAATTCAATGAAATGTATTCCTTGAGCAATTACTTATGAGGGGAGCTTATGCACTGGGGATAGAAAGGCAAATAAAGCCTTCAAGAAGCTCACAATCTGGGAGTCAGTTATGACTGACTGGGTCTGTGAAAGTTCTACAGGACTGGAATTATCAGGGAACCAAGAGAATACAAGGCAGGATAGCTGCTCAGCCAGTGTATGGGAGACTGGCATTTCAGCTGATTCTGGAAGGACAAACTGGATGGAAGGGATGAGGGCAATTACGAAGGACACTCAGGCTCTAGGAGTAGCCTTGATGAGGATCCCCATATGAGACGCCCTGGCTCTGGGCTCCAAGCTCAGAACCTGAAGTAACTACTATTTATGTGACTGTCTCCTTCTGGCCTTTCCACTCCAGCTCAGGAATGTGAAATTCCCAAAGCTAGAGACTCTCTTATTCTCATGCTTGTATATTAGTAATTCCCAAACAACATAGTAAATATTCATTACGTAAAAGGCAATTGGTCTTCAATTCATATGCAAAACCAGTAGACTAAGAAATACTTATTTTAAGAGTCCTGATATATTTCTGTTGATTAAAAGGATTTCTTTATCATTTATGAAACTATATCTAAATTCCTCATCTTTGACATGTTCTGAAACCTTGAGTTATTAGCAAACAAGGTGGACAGCTCCTTGAGGACAGAGTGAGGGCTGAGGCTTACTTGCAGCTGGACCCCTCAGATCTCATGATGCATTTGGCACACAGAATTCTGATTAATAATGTGTGTTAAATGAAGGAGTGAATAAGGCTTTTGCATATTCGTCTGTTGCAGGAGCGTAACACACTGACACGAGCTTTGCTTTCTATTAACTACTGAATAACTACGTAGATTGAGACCTATGGCAAAATGTGAAGTAAGCACAGCAGATGGTCTCAGCCAGTGTCCCTACTACACAAACTAGAAATACTGCCCCCCCTAAGTTCAGTATGCATTAAAGCCAACAACCCCATCTTCTAGAACAATCTATTCAATGCAGGCAGTGAAGTTCTACAGGAGCAACACACCTCATCAATCTCTGGCTCTTCTGTCCTATTTCCAGATACCTTGCTTAAGGAGCAATTTGTTTGTGTCAAAGTCAGTAATAAATTAGGACATTAAGAGGTGCTATTATTTAGAAAATATGGTCATCATTTACTGTAAAACAAAAGACAGGCAAAAAGGATAGAATTTCACTAATATTGTGAATTTTTCTCTCAACATGAAGGGAGGCAGTGAGACCACTTTCTGAACATTATGAAAAAACAAATGCATTTTACAAAGAGTCTTTCCTCAAGCCCACTAGACAGAATGATGCCTTACTCAGAAAGGCTCAGATCCCAAGATGCATAACTAATATGCTACCTTTTTGCCACCATACCCACAGTACATTAATTTCATTTAAAATGCACTGACCATACAGGATAAATTGATTTCACTTTATGTGGATTTGACAGCCATGTTTATTGTGCAGTGAAATGCAGTGTAGCTTCCAGCTGACAATATCCATCAACACGGGGCAATATGCTGACTGCTGGGCCAGATGAAGGCATGCATTACTCTGGAAGTGAAACACTCATTCAGATACGACAGTGTCTTCTGCTGAGGATCACTGCGGTAATTTATGATGCCCTTGGTGCCATTACTTTACAACTGACATGGATGCGGCAATTTATACACTGGCATGTGTACACATAAAAGAAGACAGGCTTGTGGAAAATGTCAGATGTGAAAACATTGCAGTATTATTCTAAGTTAACTATTATGCCACAGGTGATTAACATCCGGGACCTGCTTTTGCTGCCATTGCTTCCTCTCTACTAGCAATAGCCAGCATCTCGCTTCTCCCTTGGCAATGCCATTTTGTGGGGCCACGAGACACTTTACCTCCCCACAGACTGACAGAAGTCATGGTGAGGTTTTAGAATTTAGTCCAATGAGACATCCCAAGTATTCTACTGATACTGATTCTTTCAGATGTATGCCCAGTTCTTTCTCCCCTGTCTCTCTTCTTTGTCCCCACCCCCGCCAGGCTGTTACACAGCCTCAGCTTATAATTCTTCTCTTCAGGAGCTCTGTGATAGTCTGCATCTTGCAAGGGACATAACATACATAGGTCAGCTTCTCTTTTCACCAGAGTCTCCCTTTGTCCGCCCCAGCGTGTACCACCTACAGCCAGCATCAGAGAGGTTTAGGGCTCCAAGGGTGAATGCAGATTGGAAACTGAAGCACAGTGCATACTACAAAATGCAAAGTGAAAAGGAGACGAGCAATACTTGAGGATGTATGCCCATGGCCCCTTCCCTCTCCCTTCCCCCTCTGTTCTTGTTCCCTCTTTCTTCTCCCAGAAGGAAGGAGCTGAAAATGGAGGGGGGCATCTTAAACAGGTAATAATGTTAGGAAGAGCCAAGATTTCAGAAGAAGATAGTTATGCAAGGAGTCCAAAGCTTAAAGATCACGAGTTGGACCTGATATCTGACCAGATAGTAACTGCATCTGTGACTTTTAATATGGGACAAATCTGTGCCCAAGTCCCATTATAAACCACTAGATTCATGTGTTTGTCTGGCTTCCTCCTCTTCTTCCTTCTGTTCATATCCTTTCTTCCCTGTCTTCCATGTCTGAGGTAATCCAAGGTAACCCATCACTATATAGATGACATCTTGGATGGCGCTCTCTTTCTTAACTAGACACTCAACAGCAGGCTGACAACAAGCTTACGCTGCACATGAAAACCGGCCCCTCCCTCTGGACTCACTACTGCTAGAAGGGGGAGTCCTTTTCAGACCTTACAATTCCCAGGTTCATGTTTCCACTGATAGTGGAAACACAGTGCTGGACTGTGCACTACACATGCTCCACCAGGGTATACGGAGGGTGTTTTGTATTTTCACATTTTGCAGTGTCCATGCCACACACAGCTTCTATGAAGCAATATGGAGTTCATCATACAGAAAGACACTTTCCAACAAAGACTTCTTGAGCTGAATCTTTTGATAGAAAACATCTCTTGGTATCGCTCTCTTTTTTATTCTAAGATGGTGACTCATCTATCACTTGTGCTTTGGCTCTAGGTTTGAACTAAGCAGGGAAGGAATCCCACAGAGATCTGAGAGGTGGAGAAGTCTAAGAGAATCCCATCTACTGGAACCTCCTGCTCTCTACAGTGTCCCTGCACCAAGGGCCTTAGGTTACTTAATTCATTCTTTCTCCAGAGAAGGCTGTGCTAATACAAACTTTCAGGTAAAAGAAAATCTTACAAAACAAAGAGGATCAGGCGGCTGTTGTAGCACTAGAAATACATATGCTGTATATGCATGTATAAATTCAGAAAATTGAAATAACATGTTTTTAAAACCCCTTTTAAAAGATACAAAATGTTTTTATAAAACATTATGCATTATTTTCAAATGATATTCTATTAACCTATATTTCAGAAACCCAAAATTGACTTTCTGCTTTAAGTAACTTTTAAATTTCTATATCAAGTATGTCATGACCTATTCATTTTTGAAACTATCAGCCGGGCAGTGGTGGCGCACACCTTTAATCCCAGCACTTGGGGGGCAGAGGCAGGCGGATTTCTGAGCTCTAGGCCAGCCTGATCTACAGAGTGAGTTCCAGGACAGCCAGGGCTATACAGAGAAACCCTGTCTCGAAAAACCAAAAAAAAAAAAAAAGAAAGAAAGAAAGAAAAGAAAAGAAACTATCATAAAGTGCACAAAGATAAGTATATTCTTAAATAACCAATACTTATGTCAGAATCTAGTACCGCTTTCTGGTACATGGTGGTCTCTCAGTGTGGCATGAGCTTGGGAAGTGAAGGGAGTCCCATGGAGAGTGGCTAGAAGGAGTGCAGACTCAGAGCCCTGTGTCCGGGACCACACCTTTCCTGCTGACCTGAGAGTCTTTACCCATCAGCATAGGCAGCCCCAAGAACAGCAACTGAAGGCCCGGAGGACAGCAAGAAGATCCAGGAATTTGAAGACCCCGTCTGCTGGAACCTCTTACTCTCTACAGTGTCCCTGCACCAAGGGCCTTAGGTTGGTTAATTCATTCTTTCTCCAGAGAAGGCTGTGCAAATACAAACTTTCAGGTAAACAAAAAGAATCTGTAGGGAGAGGACTGAAGCTGCCAAGACAAAGATTTCCTTAGGAAGCTGTGAAGTGAGTGATTTAGAGAAGACAGAAAACTGAGTTTTTCCAGGTGGGTTGTTAAGAGGCTCATTTCACCATCACAGCCTATGGCAATGGTCCTGAACTAATCCTACAGAGGGGCCCTTCCTGGGTAAGTCCCAGGGGCTGTCCGGGTGAGTGAGTGTGCAAGATGGCTTTGTGCTTATACAAAGGTTTCTCCAGGAAGAAATTCTGGAAAATTCTATACTGTGCTTGGTAATCACTCCTATGCATTACTTTAACAAACTCTCATGACAAGTATGCAGTGTATAGAAAGCACCACGATAGAGCTCTACAAAGGTAAGTAACACTGGTTCTAGAATTTTTAAGGGGTTTGGCTAACACACAGTTAAAATTATATGCTAATGCTAAT